GCCTCCAATTCACTGTCTGAGAATGGCTTGAGAGCCTTCTTGAAGGTAGACTGCGGCTTCAATCGGCGTTCGAGCTGAAGTGATTTGGCTTTGGTGGGCAATCTCTTGAACTCGAGCTAGGCAAGGATTTCCTCCGTTTAGCCATACATCACAGCTAAAGGACAAACATAGCGCACATTCATATGTCTCTTAGACATCAAGGAGATGGCCACCTTTATAGCCGGCGAGACTAAGTCGGTGCCAAAGATTATCGTAGAACTCTTCCCTCCGGTTGCAAAATCGACATATTCGGTGGGTTTCATGAATCGATGTGTCGCCTCTAAGAGGTATTGCTCGTGATTTTCGGCAATAAACTTGCTCGAAGAGAACTTCTCAAGATTATTTTTAGTCGTCTCTAGCTGACTAACCGACGACATTGCTAAGGTGCTGAAAAGTCATTCAGTTCGTCGTACCTGAAAGCAAAAGAGACTCACTGACCAGTTTATATTGCAATATTGACGAACAAATTCTTTGGCATTTTCACTATACTGTTGATGCGGTTCGAAGAGAGTCTGTATGTTCCAAGATTCATCATAGCCCACAGGGGTCAACAAGAACACGAACCGGAAGAACCTGATTGTGCCATCTAGATACATCAAGAGCATTTGCTTGCTGATGTATCACACTTTTACGGTATTTTCGCTCTGGTAGTCCTTGAGAAATGGCAGATATACATGGGTGTTGGACCCACCAGCCAAAGGTAATAGAAAGCGTTCAAGATCCTCGGTCGATGCAAGAGAGGGATCGCTTGTAGAAGAATCTTGTTTGTACCATTTCTTCAGTTCCTCGACCGCCTTTTCGGAACTTGCTTCTTCTTGGCATGCTTCGTGAGCCTGACCGGCTGAGACAAGATTGCTGTACTGGTCGAGACTCGAACCATCAGACTAGTGCTAAATTAGCTTTCTGAGATCATAAAGTACCAAGACATACCACTATAGTAATGTATTCATCCCGATGATCAAACTCTTTGAGCTGTTTGAGGCGAGCTCCCATGGAATTCCATGCTTCTTCACGCGATTCAACCTCTAAAAGACCGTAAATATGTAACAAGAGTTGATTTGGTAACGACAATATACCATTATTGAACAAATCAGTGACAGGAATCGCCAACAGTGCTATCCCTGACTGTAGCCATTTCGGGTTGACAGATTTGCTTAGATATTTGAGCTCGTCAAGACTGTAGAAAGAGGGGATCTCATTAGCTTATTGTATTTTGTTAGAGTTAGCCCAACTTACTATCTCCTTTCCAGCTCCAAACTATGTGTCACGTAATATAAGTACGCATTCCTAAGACTGGGCCCGCATATACTCACCGGCGCTTGAGCAGGTCTATGAGTTGGCTCATATACTTTGATTCACGGATCATACGCTTGAGCGTACTACCTGGGAGACTCGAAGAGGTGTCCATCATATACGTCGCTCGACTGGCCCTCTCGGTTGGAGGA